CCCCCCCCCCCCCCCCCCAAGAAGCCATCTAGCCCTGGACTCTTGTTTATTTGGAGATTTGTGATTACCCATTCAATTTGTTTACTGGTTATGGGTGTGTTCAAATTTTTTATTTCTTCGTGTTTCAGTTTTTGTAGTTTATATGTTTCTAGGAATTTAATGATTTCTTCCAGATTGCCCAATTTGTTGGCATATAATTGCTCATAATATTCTCTTATAATTATATTTCTGCAGTGTTGGTTGTGATCATTCCTCGTTCATTTGTGGTTTTATTTGTTTGGGTCCTTTTTCTTTTTGATATGTCTGGTTAGAGATTTATCAATTTCATTAATTCTTTCAAGGAACCTGCTCGTATTTTCAGTGATCTGTTCTGTTTTTATTTATTTCGATGTCATTGATTTCTGCTGTAGTCGTTATTATTTCCCTTTTTCTGCTGGTTTTTGGCTTTATTTGCTGTTCTTTTTCCAGTTCCTTAGGTGTAAGTTTAGGTTGTATATTTGAGATATTTCTTTCTTCTTTAGGAAGGCCTGGATTGCTATATACTTCCCACTTATGACTGCCTTTGCCACATCCTAAAGGGTTTGGACTGTCGTGTTTTCATTTTCATTGGCTTCCATGTACTGTTTTATTTCCTCTTTTAATTTCTTGGTTAACCCAACCATTCCTTAGTAGGATGTTCTTTATAAGTGTTTGTGGTCTTTCCAAATTTTTTCTTATGGTTTGACTTCAAGTTTTATAGTGTTGTGGTCTGAAACTATGCAAGGTATAATCTCAATCTTTTTGTACTTGTTGAGGGCTGATTTGTGACTCACTATGTGATCTGTTCTGGAGAGTGTTCCATGTGCACTCAAAAAAATGTGTATTTTCCTGTTTTAGAATGAAATGTTCTGAATATATCTGTTAAGTCCATCTGGTCCAGTGTGTCACTCAAAGCTATTGTTTCCTTGTTGATTTTCTCCTTAGGTGATCTGTCCGTTGCTGTAAGGGGGTTATTAAAGTTTCCTACTATTATTGTATTATTATCAATGAGTTCCTTTGTTTTTGTTATAATTGATTTATATATTTGGGTGATCTCATGTTGGGTGCATAAATATTTACAGTTGTTAGATCTTCTTTGTGGATAGACCCCTTCATTATGATATAATGCTCTTCTTCATCCCTAGTTAACAGTCTTTGTTTTAAAACCTAGTTTGTTGGATATACATATGGTTCCTCCAGCTTTAATTTGACATCCATTAGCATGATAGATGGTTCTCCATCCCCTCACTTTCAACGTGCATGTGTCTTTAGATCTAAAATGAGTCTCTTGTAGGCAGCGTATAGATGGATCTTGTTTTTTTAATCCATTCTGATACCCTGTGTCTT